TGCGGCTACCAAGGCAATAGGCTCTGTGGTGGATGACCTCGAGGGCGTTGTAAATATGGCCCGAGAGCATGTTGATGACCTCCGCAAACGGGCTACTAAACGTCGCAAAAAGAAACCGGAAGGAGCCGCCACCAGATCTGCTGCCGCTGCTGCGGTGGCTGCTTCTGCTGCCGAACGAGGTCCAAGGTCAGGAGCCGATGCACGTCTCGCTCGCTCCGATCCGCTTGAGGCGCTTCTTTTCAGCGGACCGAGGAGAAGCCCACAACCCACGACGACTCCTCCACGACAACGGCAAACGGTGAGTTCAGAGCGGTGTACGGCAAGAGATAGGGTGTTATCTTGCGTATTTCTCAAATGTTTGAATTTCCCTGTAGGCTTTACTACTGTATTTCCGGTATATTTCCCCTGCTCTCCCATCTTCCCACGAAACTATTGAGTCCCATCCTCACATTTCCCCCCTCTCTCGTCAAAACTGCTCCATTGTTTGCATCATCAAACAGGCTATCGACCGGCACCGCGACGGGGTGAAGCAGAGCGTGTTAGAGGATGTTGTGTTGAAGGAGGAGCTGAGGGAGTTACGGTGTGTCGGAGAACTTTGAGAGGCAGCGGCGACGAAGGCTGCTGTCGATGCGGAGAACATTCGCGCACTGGTCGCCTCTATAGAGACGCTGAAGCTACACTCCCACAGCAACATCGGCCGCGCTGCCTACAACACCGTCATTGCCGCAGCTGCTGGAGCGGAGCACACGTGCGATCCTGATGACCCTTGCACCCCGGATGAGCCGTGCGCACCTGCTGAGCCGCAGGGTGCCGTCAGCCTTTGCCGCGCGAGCACAGGGTCTCGGTGTGAGAGACGGCACGTTCCGTGCAGCGCGTACCCGGATGCACAGGACTGACCACGCCATACCTCCACAGGAAGCTTTGGAGAAGGGGAGATACCTCTGGGCTCCTCGCAAGGAAAGGAGCGACAAGATGGACGAACGTGTCATGGGTTTGGCGAGGAGGTTCTGGCACTCTGACGATATTTCTCGTGCGTCGGGAGACTCCGGTAAGCGCTATCAAATTCTGTCGTTGTACAATTAATTGTAGATCGGGGTATCTCCTTTGCCGTTTTTTGTCGACGTGACGTATCATCTACACTTCTCTGTACCCCTTTAGATAGCTTCACTATTGCTGCTACACTGCACACTGCTGTTCTTTCGTACACCCCTGTAGGGACGAAAGCTATGTGGAGGCCGTCCAAGAAGGCAGGGGAGGAGTATCACCCCCGTAGGCAGCTCATGGTTGCGGGGGACCAAGTATGGCGCAAATTCCTGAAGTGGCCGGAGTACTTGGGGCTTAAGGCGGAGCTGCTGAGGGAAGACAGCAGCTTCGCGGACCCTGGGCGGACGCTGTTCCTCTCGACGCGGTGTGGGTGTTTTAGGTGGGTAGACATGAGGGGAGAGCTCCGTTTTTTTAGTGACCGTTCCAGCGTAATGGACTCTTCTGCTGTGTCACCGCCCCAGGAGGACGGCCTCTCTGCTGACCTGTTGTCCTCCCCTCTGTCCGTTTCAACTGTTCGCTTCTGGTGTGTCACAGTGGAACCCAAGGTATCGCAGTGTGCATGCCAGATCCACACGCAGCAGGGGCTGTACCTGAAGGCCTTCGAGATGTTGATGCCTGCAATGCATGCCAACTGTGACTGCACGTGCAAGTGGTGCGACGGGGGGAGTGGGTGTGGAAAGTGGATGGCCATGTGTAAAGATCTGCACAGCTTTTCAGAGGCTTTGGCTTGCGAGAAGGTAGACTTTCTTGAGGAGGACCGAGGGGGTAGGTTTGAGCACTGGGGGAGGAAGCCCGCATGCGTTGCGATGGAATGCTCCGAATGCGGGTTTGGCAACCCAGGTGGCATCCCCATGAAATGCGATGCCCTGGGGTCTATGGCGGACAGACTAGTCGGGTGGCTTTGATTCGAGGATCAAGTCATGGAGGATGGGAAGGTGCACAAGAAGCAGCAGATACCCCAGGCCGGAACACTGGACGACCTGTGGAAGGAGTTTGTGGAGCACTCGAAGAAGGTGAAGTAAGGAACCGCATGTGGAATGGGCGTCGTAAAATGCTGGAGGCATGTAGTCAATCGTGCATCAACACAACTAATCGCGCGGCTTACAATTATGTTTTCCTGCCCCGCCCCCCCTTTCCCCCCGGTCGTTTCTCGTCCCTCAGTACATTCATCACCACGAGCTAGCAAAGTGGCAGCGCCAAGCCCACAACATGTGCCTGGCGACGTTCGGCAAAGGCGAGCTGTTGGTGGAGACCGACTTTATCGAGAAGTACAAGCACGAGGCTGGCGCTGTCTTGACGTGCGCTACTGCGCCCTCCACGACCATGATGGTGGCTCTAGTTCACCACAGTCCTGACGACGACGGTCGGCATGAGACAGACGCATGGGTATTCGTATCGAGTGACCCCAACCATGACTTCGATTTCCACATCTACGCCATGGACATCATCCTTCGGTACTACATCACGGGGGATGGGCGGGCCGATACTGCTGGAACACCGGTCCCCACGGTGCACATCTTCACCGACGGGTGCGCCAAACAGTACAAGGGGAAGCGCAACTTTTACGCTGTGGCGAAGAGCTTGCACAGGCTTGGTGTCGTCCTCATCCACAACTTCGCGGTCACGTCGCACTTCAAAAGCGCCGACGATGGCATCGGGGGGTTGCTGAAGGCTCTGTCGCGAGAAACGGAGGAAAGGGGCCAGCGCATTCGCAACACCCAAGCCGCAGCCGACTTCCTCCAAGTCTACGCCGAGGCAAAGGAGGATGGAGGAGGTCACTTTTCAAGCTGGTCCCCCTACCGGATCAAGAGGTTCCACATCAAGCTTCTTGGACACCGAGAGATCCCTCGCCCGTTCGTAGATTTGACGGGCATCTCTGGGAGTTCCAAGCTGTACCAGTTCATGGGAGCGGAGGTCCAGGAGGTGGAGAGCTCGGGCGTAGGCGTAGAGGTGCAGACAGAGAACGGGATTCCCCTCGTAGGTGGCGAGAGAGGTTGTAGCGAACCCGCAGAGATGGCAGGCGGACGAATCAACCGTTCTGACGCTTCCGGCTGTCACGAAGCGATACAAGCTACGCGTTCGCCAGGCGTCGTGCTACTGCTCGAAGTGTAGTGTTGGAGCTTACGACGACTGCGTCCCGGCCAAGAAGTACGCGGGGATGGTGGGTATGGTGAAGGCTGTGTCGGGCAAGCACAAGGTTACTCGGGCGTCTTGTGGTGTAGGGAATTGAGGGGTGTCCGTGGTGCACGTCATGTTCTCGTGTTTGGCGCCTTGTTCTCTTCCATATTCTTTGTTTCTTTGGGTAATTTTGTTGCAGTTTTTGTACTTTTTTTGTTGCTGTGTGCTGTTTGTTGCATGTTGCTGTTCATATGCAGCGGCAGGTCGTCTCCCTTTGGCGGTTTGGGATATCAACGAAGGGTCTCCAGCAGGAGAAAACAAATCTTTGCCGGCGTCTGTGGCTAATATTTTCACGGTTTGTCGCCGAAATGGGCTGTCTTTTTCTATATATATAATGCACAACATACATTATTTTCAAGCACGTCGGTGAAATAAATGTCCACATATGTCACAGAGGGTATTTGTGGTAAATCTCCGCGGTTGTACGCATCAAATAGCCTAAAAAAACGAGCTTGAAAATGGCCATAAAAACACGTTTTATCGCCGTTTTTCCAAAGGGGGGGGACATTTTAGCCCCATCCCCGTTTTTTTCATACATTCTGCAGNAGAGGGTATTTGTGGTAAATCTCCGCGGTTGTACGCATCAAATAGCCTAAAAAAACGAGCTTGAAAATGGCCATAAAAACACGTTTTATCGCCGTTTTTCCAAAGGGGGGGGACATTTTAGCCCCATCCCCGTTTTTTTCATACATTCTGCAGTATAAAACACTACATATCGCTGAAACCTCAACATCCCGACGTCGGGTACTCAATTTAACCCGCGGAACTGGGCCTACACCCCATCAAAGCACCCTGACACACTTTTTGGAGCTTTAGTCTTCGGGGAACATCATCAACGGGACCGCTCGACACTATAGCGCGGAAGGCGTGCTATGTGACCCCGGTTGGGACGTCTAGCTGGTAGAAGTGGAGGATAGGGGCCAGAGGGGCAGACGACAGAGTCCAATGATGGGAGAAAAAAAAAAAAGCACGGTCAAATTGTCGAATAATTCAAATTTTGAAGCAAATCCGTCTGCCCGTGGTCGGTCAAGTTAAAGTGTAGGTTGCGGGTTTATTGTATTAGAGTGTCTCTCGCACCTTTTCTCTCTCTTCTCTTCCCCTAGGCCACTGCTGCATGACACATTTATTCATGTATGTCGTCTGCTGAGTGCCTCTCTCTACCTCAGCCCCACAAAAAAAATTACTTGCATACCCGGCAGGGTGAGTGACTGAAAAACCTACAGATATGCATACCAGTACGGACTCATTTCATTCTTAGAAATCAACATACAAGCATTTGCAATGACCGACCACAAGCAACCCTCCGCACGCATCGCTCCCTCAACGCACAGCAACAAGAAGCGACAATCGCCATCTAGAGGGGTAAACGGAGAGGAAAGGAAGTCATCCGCCATCAGGGACGAAAAGGAGAAAAAAAAACGGCCACTGCCAACAAAACCGCGCCCCACCCCTGACGTAAAGGAAGGAGACCATTCGCACGTGAAAAAAAGAAAGGAGCAGACCTCACTTATGACAACCAATCTTCTCCATACAACGCTTCCAACAATCACCACACGCGTAATACATACTCCGGAGTAGCTCATGTACGACACACAGACGAGTGTTTTTTCCTGAGATAAGACACAGCCTAGACTTGGCAAGCCGGGTCCACTCTCCTCCCAATTCAGCTGGCGTTCGCTTCACCGCAAACGAACAGAGAAAAAGACAAACTCCAACGCTCTCTCTCTCTCTCTCTCTCTCATTACATATGCTTGGAGTGTTTCCCGCCCTTCCACAGCCCATCCATTCGTCTTGCGGACTGCAAAAACAAGACCACGCGTCAAGGCACACACCTTGCGAAAGAGTCCGATGACCACGCTATTATTCTTAGAAACCACAAGCGCGTTTATATTTTATCCCGCTACAAAAATAACGAAATTTTGATTGGTCAGGCTGCTAGCGCGGCCAACGCTAACTGATACACACATACATACAACACCCCGCCTTTGACCGTCACAAATCAAGCACGTCATCATGGATCTTGCCTGTCGATTGACTTCTGTACAGGAGTGGGTGCCATCGAAAAAAACAGGCAACCAACATCCCCCAACACACCTCCATCGCAAGAAATCGAAGTCTGCGATAACGGCAGCCAGCCAGGCCCCTCCCTCGACCCTTTCCCCTGCCATCTATATCACACTTCTACGACGCTACCGCTCTCCCTCGCCGTGTTATGCTACCTCACCCTTAAGGAAGGGCTGCTAGGTATACCAAATCTCCTGTGTTGTCATCCCGATATCAAGTTTACACCATGGACCTACCTGCTTCTTACTCCGTCCTCACAAAATCACAATTCATTGCTTATCTACGTTTGACTCTTTCTTCAGTAGACATGGATTCGTTGGGTCATACTGAACAAAAAATGAAAAAGACTCTCGGCCACGCATTATTTAATGCGTGCAGTGCAATCCAGGAATCCCCCCCCCCAACGTAGGAAGCAGAGGCTGCTGAAGAGCGCTCAATCTTGCCGGAATCTATATCTCACGCTTTGCATACCTCCTCCAAGTTTTCTCAAAACATCGGCTATCCCCTCCCAGAAGCAGCAAACACAGGCAGACGATATCTCTCTCACGCCTGAACTTGGCAAGCACGCCCACCCTTTCGCCAACACCGTAGGGCAATGCCTGCACCTTTAGACCTGTCCAGCCAAGCTCTCTCGACACACACCGAAGGTCAGGGTGAACCTCCTCTCAAACCGCTCTCCTAACGCACGCCAAACGTCAGGGTGAACCATCTCTCCAGCCAAGCTCCCCTAAAACACACCACACGTCAGGGTGAACCATCTCTCAAGCCAAGCTCTCCTGACACATGCCAAACGTCAGGGTGAACCATCTCTCCAGCCAAGCTCTATTAACACACACCAAACGTCAGGGGGAACCATCTCTCAAGCCAAGCTCTCCAAACACACACTAAAACGTCAGGGTGAAGCATCTCGCAAGCCAAGCTCGCCAAACACACACCAAAGGCCAGGGTGAACCATCTCTTGAGCCAAGCTATGTTGACACACACCAAAAGCCAGGCTGAAACGATCACTCAAGCTCCTGAAAGTCAGGGCGAAAGGAACGCTCGAGCCCTACGCCTTGAGGTGGGTGTGGGGCTTTGGCTGGCGGCTGGGCTCTGGCTCTCAGGGCTGAAAAACGCTGACGTTGCCATTGAGTGGGAGTCGTCACCCTCCCCTTCCGATGCGGTCTGCCACCCCTCTTCCCCCGCCATGGCTAAGGCCTCCTCCTCCTGTGTAACCTGGCAAGAGCAGGGGGTGTTGGTGGGGGGGGAGGGAAGAGACACAACTGCGATGGTAAGACAGACACACACACAAATAGTTTGGGCCCCGGATCATGGCCATATCCTCATAGAAGTAGTACGTTTTCTGTTTTCAGTCACGCTGAGTTTCAGCCGCGTCGAGACGTCGGCCAGTTCGCGCGGTCGATGTCAATATGAAAAATACATACACGGGTCGTGGACTTGCTTTATAGAAGCTATTTCTGTTTTCAGCCGCACTGAGACTGATGTATTTTCATTGGTCAGCTAGCGCGGTCGATGCTGCTGTAGTAATAAAAACGCACACACAGGGACCTTGATTGCACCCGCTGGTACTGACGTTTGTTCATTGGTGAGCTGGTTAGCGCGGTCGATGCTAATAGCAATGAAAACACACATGCGAGGAGGCCGGGATAGACACACACAAGTGCAAAATCGGTGACACCGGGGTTGTCATTCGAGTCATGCTTGCTCGTGTTTTTTTTTTTTGCCTTCACTTCAAATCAGCGCTCACAGCACTAGTGCCGTTTACTCCAACCCGTGGTCACACAGAAGAGCCCTCTCTACCCTCCCCTCCTGCGGTACTTTGCCTTCGATTTTTAATGCGAGAAGAGTTCAGCACTCTCTTCCCTTTGTGTACACACGACCTAGTGCTATCCCCTAGGCCAGGAGCGTTGCTCGTATGAGGTGACGTAAAGCGACTTTTTTTCGCCTTGGACAGGGCACGAAGTCTCCCCGACAACTATTAGAGAGAGAGCGGAAAGCGTCTATGGTAGTATCACCATGCATTTGCGGAAAACGTAGCGCAATGTTACATGTCCAAGTCGCTTTTGGGGGCACGTGCGTCGATCCCAAAATGTACAGTGGATACAGAGCTGAATCGCTTGCCACCGGTAGGCGGCTCTGACAACAGAGCTCAATAACTCGACAAGCTAGGCGGCTCTAACACCGACTCGGATTTTATCTGATATCAATAGTTGGTTAAAAATATGAATGGAAACAAACTCACAATAAAACAAAGAGGACAATAATTATAATGGCGAAGATTGAAGTGGCTCAACTTTCTTGCAGGGGTACATTTCGGACACAAAGCTCACCAATAAAACCCTCATGTGTTTTCTTATACTTATGCAGATCTTCAACGACTCTGCTCTAGGTACACACACGTGCTTGACGGGGTGCGTACGAACACGGGGGTATGAAGGGTCCGAAGGTCAAATCCAACGTTGTATAGGCTGCTTGCACTCATCAAATGTGCCAGAAATGAGTTTTTGAGCAACTCACGTCATCCATCCAAGAGCTGCCATCGGACTTGATCCTGTCCAGCACCCAGTCCGCCATCATTTCACTCTCGCCTCCTTGCCATGTCACATGATCCTGCGGAACCCCCCCCCAAAAAACGAAAAGACGAAAACACACAAGGGACCATGATTAGACACGCACGCACAGTCACCAACGTGATGCACAGCAGTCAGTGACGCGAAGCACAGGGTCATCGACGCGAAGGAGAGGGTCATCACCGCTACTGGATTGAGGTCAGAACGTCTGTAACAACAACAGCAAACCATCACAACAACAGCAACAGCAACGAAAGCATCAGCGACGACCCTTATTCATACCACACACGAGCAGCAGCAAAGCCTCTCACCCTCTGTCCAAGCATGAATAGGTGGACATGTCTGCTTCGGAAGGCGTTCGCTCTGGCCCTCAGGTGCGGGGGGAGATGCATCCACCCTTTGGTTCTGCGGTTGTGGGTTGTGGAGTCATGAGAAAGACGGCATGGACATGATGGTTGCACAGTCAACGCCATAGCGGAAGACATGCTTGGGAACAGGGACTCGGCTATCCCCTGCGCCAACAACACATCACGGGCCTACTCCCATGGCCCATAGTTTTACTAGTTGAGTCCAACCCGTCTTCTCCTTGTTTTCTTCATGTCGTGTCTCCCGGTACGCTGTGAAAAACGAAAAAAAATGCATGTTTTCATTACCACGAATCCTTGATCATGCGAATACAAGCATGTCTCACTTTCTCCTGCATTGCAAACGCAGGTTGGTTTGCCAGTTTATCACTTTCTCTGCTCTGTCATGGGAACCCAACATTGCACCCCTTTATGCCCTACTCGTCTCTGATCTGCCATGGGACCCAACATCGTACCAAGTGATACCCTACTCCTATACCCAAAGTGGGGTACACCTACTCTAAGAACGTGAGAGAAACAAATAAACATGGACCCAGAAAATATGCTCCAAATGCGGCGGCATACCTGACGACCTTACGCCATTTGCGTAGGATGAAGGTAAGGCAGCGGTGCTCAAATGTGGGCATACCAAGAGCGTCGGCGTAGTGGTACAGGTGGCTAGCGTTCTCATCGTCCAGCACCCCTTGCAGGAAGCCCTCGCACAGCGACAGGAGGTCCGTGAGGGTGTACTGTCGGGTTGTGCCGTGGGTAGGGTTTTGTAGTTGCCGGGCGCGCGAGAGAGAGGGAAGGAGAGGGAGGGAAGGAGAGAGAGGGAGGCAGAGGGGAGAGAGAGAGNTAAATTGATGTACAAGTACAGGCGGGAAGTTTTCTCGTCGCAAAGGATGAAAGAGACAGTCCAGTTCAACGAAGCATGGCGGCGTAAACACGCTAGGCCGACCGAAGAAACCAGAGGCGCGCGCGCTACTGCTGCATTTACAGGCCGTGCGGGAGGATGATACACACGGGAGCGCTGTTGAGATGTTGAGACGTTGAGATGTTGAGATGTTGAGATGTTGCGATGTTGAGATGTTGACGTGTTGAGATGATGAGATGATGAGGTGTTGAGATGTCGAGATGTTGAGGTGTAGAGATATTGAGGTGTAGAGGTGAAGCTGTATCAAGGATAGGTTTTACGATGAAACATAAGAGGGACCAACGCACCTTGAAGCTTGCGACCCGCACACGACCCGGCGAGCCGTCGGGCTTCTTCGAGCTCTTGTACTTGTTGTACGCTGCTCTCGCCGTCGGGCGACGTGGCGTGAGTGGTACGGCAACAAAGAGAAAAAAAAAACACGGAGAGAGAGAGAGAGAGAGAGAGAGAGAGAGAGAGAGAGAGAGAGAGACACACACACAGAGAGAGACAGAGATGGAGAGAACATGAGGGAGAGGGAGAGAAAGGGAGACAGACAGACAGACAGACGAGCACGTCACGCAGCAAATGGCGCTTAGTTTCGTACGGGATGAAGCAATACTCCGTAGCAACAACGAACCAAACGAGCGATAAAACCAACAATCCTGCACACCTTCTATGCCCACATGCTGCCGGTGGGATCGAGATGAAAGCAGTTGCGGCAACACCGCAAAACGGCCGTGCATATGCCCAATACTTGCGTCTTCGCGACACCAGGACTCAACCCCGTGTGCCTACTTTGAGCTGGTGACCGACAACAATAACGCCCCCCCTCTGCTCTGCTCCCAAAGCACGGCAGAACTCTACACAAAAAAATCAAATCAACAGACAAAACACATGTACTTCCGACGAGTACAAGATATCTCCGCTAGTGGATGCTCATGAGAGAACGGCACTGCCATCAACTGCAACGGGTGGTGCACGACAACAACTGCGAAAAGTAGCAAGAGCAGACCACAGCTGGCTGCCAGCTGCCAGTTACAACGTTTCCCCCCAAGTTCAGCAGCCCACACAGCTGACGCTATTTTGGACTTGAGCAGCCAGCGCAGCCAACCTCGGAACGCACAAAAAAAAATCTACATTCAGCATTATTCGTTGGACAGCTACGTAACAGGAGAACAGCCGCAACAGTTTTCTGGTGGAATTGGATATGCATGGGTTGGATTTGTTTTCAGAGGAAGAAAGAAATTGGGGGTTCTGATAAGGCATGGTTGAAACGTACTCGTTCAAACCCCGACGAAACTTCCGACGCTTGAGCATCATTCTTTGGTCATCATGCGCGCGCACGACGCATGAATCATTACTGGCTCTTTTTTCCGTTTGTTCGGGAGCAGCGCGAGGCCCCTAACCTGATTGGCTACAACCAGGAGTTCAGTGATGTCTTCCGGCCGCTGCAGCTGAAGGGTATCGGTGTAAAGGTAGGTCAGGAGAGCCGTGAACACCGCGGGGCGGATGTCCTTGACCAGCACGTCCATCGCGAACGATTCTCTCATGCCTGGTCCAAGCAGCAGTGGAAAAGCGTGAAGGGTTGATGCGTTACTTTAGAAAGGCGAAAAAAAAGTGGAAAGCGTCGAGGGTTAATAAAGGACCAAGCGTTGCTTCATAAACGCGAAAATTTCTCTCATCGAAGCAGCGGAAAGCGTTGAGGGTCGACAAAGAGTACGCACTACCTTTTTTGAGGCGAACGTTGCTCTCGTGCCTAGTTGAAGCACCGGAAGCGTTGAGGGTTGAAAAAGAGTACCAATCATTACTTTCTGAGGTAACCGTTCTCTCATGCCCGGTACAAGCAGTGGAAAGGGTTGAGGGATGACAAAGAGTACTCTTAAGGCCAACGTTTCTCTCGTGCCTAGTCAAAGCAACGGAAGCGTTGAGGGTTGATACCGACCACCAAGAAATACTGTTGAGGCGGGCGTACAACGGATTGCTGCTTGCTGTTGAAGCGAGCCCACAAGAAAACAGGCCTCCCCCGCGTCAGAGGCCAGCGAAGCTTTCTTGCCTTTGGAGCGAGCCTTTCAACAAGCCGTATGCCCCAGACAATACCTACCCATCTGACTGTGTCGTTCATGCATATGTAGATCCCAAATCGCATCACACCTAGTTGGTAGCATTTTCTATTTCTTGTTTCCTCTCCTTGAGGGTGTATCTCACCTGTCCTGGAAATGGGTATTTACAATTTCTTGCTCTCTCTCTCTCTCTGTCTCTGTCTCTGTCTTTGTCTCCCTCTGAATCTAATCACATCTGGTTGGTATTCTGTGCTATTTCGAAGTATCTTGTTTTCTCTCTCTGTGTATCTCACCGTTCCCGAATGACTATTTAGAAGTATCTCTTGTTATTTCTCTCTCTCTTTCTCTCCCCTCATCTCTCTCACCGCTCCTGAGCATAGCTCTCATCGGATCACTCCTCAGCGACAAGAGCGTGCGGTGCGCATCAATCGATTCCTTCCCACCACCGCCCTCCCCCGCCGGCGGCACAGCAGCCTTGTCGGCAACGGCCCCGCCCCGTCGCCTCCCCCCTTCCAGCTCCGCCTTAACGGCAGCGGCCTCTGCCTCTGCCTCTGCGGTCTCGGATAGACCAAAGAAGCGTCGTTTTCCGCCGGCGGCGGACCGGTGCCCCGACCCGAGGGGGGACAGCGAACAGGGCGGGGCCAGGGGGAAAGTGATGACGGTCCGCCCGTTTTTGGGGCTGACAGACCTTGGTAAGGGGGGCGGCGAAGAAAAGCGATAAAGGAGGGAGGGGGGGGGGGTCGTGAGAACGTGCGCGGGTGGGTGGGTGGAAGCTGTAGTGAGTGACTGAACATCATCATCGTGCGTGTTTAGTACGGAATCTGCTCAACCTCTCCAAGGAACACGTGCAAAAGGCAGCAAGTACAGGACCAAACCTCTACAACAACTCGCCGCCCCGCCTTTCTTCTCTCACCTAGAACTCTCCCACTCTCGCCCCGCAGACGACCGCATCACCACGCTCTGCATCCTGCCGCTCCGGCTCTTCCAACCATTCCCCCCAGCATTCCCGCTCGCGTCACCCCGTGACCCTCGCCCCAACCCCACTGGTTCACCGGGGTCTTCTGGCAGCTTGGAGGGAGCAGCCGCAGCAGCAGCCGGGACGTCATTGCCACCAGCAGGCCGGGGGGACCGGGACCAAGCCGGCGGCGACAGTGGAGATATTCCGGGCGGCGGCGGAGATGGCGGGGGCACTATCGCGTAGTGAGCCGTGTTGGTGGGGGTCGTCGGAAGGGCGAAGTCGACAGCCTGCAGGGGGTGCCATGTGATGGGTCAACGCAGCAACAGCATATGGGCGGTGACTGCTTGAGCGGTGGAGATGCTGAGTATATGAACGCCATCTCGAGATGTCCTACGGCCGTGTAACCTTTGGGCTGTCGCCGCAATTACAGCACAAAACTCGTTTGTGCTCCACGGGGGTGGGTGGGTGAGGGGGGGAGTCAGTTGTGCTGGGGAGACGTTTGGTGCGGAGCATGAAGGTCCTTCGTCGAGTTTTCTTAGCTGACACTCCACACCCGACTGGCGAATAATTTCACACACCAGGATATACACGCTCATCAAGCCGTGAAAATTAAGCGACGCTACACAAGCTCCACCCCTGTCAGGCGCCCGGCCGCTGCGTACAGGGGGGAGGGGGGGGGTGTACTCATAGTCGTGCATGCTGTAGTCGTTACACCATTGACCTCGCATCCCTACAAAGCCGGGGCGGAGCACGCCGGGTTCTCACCGGACCAGGCTATCACATCACCAAGCGCGATTNGGGGGGGGGGGGGGGGGGGGGGGGGGGGGGGGGGGGGGGGGGGGGGGGGGGGGGGGGGGGGGGGGGGGTCTCTCACCTGGAACCGGAACTTGATGTCCGAGAAGCGGTCGTTGTCGATGAGAGTCTGCATGTCTTTGTGAAGCGTCATGGGTCTCACCACCACAGGCGGCTCCGGCCCCGGCTCGTACACGAAGGTATCCGGTCGGATGCACTCCCAGACAACCTAGGCAAGGGGGCCACCGGAGGGAAAATGGGACAGGGGTACTGCTGCATGCACCGTAGATACTGGAGTTCGAACACTGGGAGGGATGTTTTAACAAACAAGATGACGAAAAAAAGAAAAAATAAACGAAATACCCAGGTTGTCGGGCAGGTTTAGGCTGGAAGGTGCTCTTGCCGCAAAGCCAAGGCTCACCAAAACCTGCCGCCTCAAGCCAACAGCGATCGACATTGATCAGCACTCTCCCAGTACGACACGACAACCCCGGATCGCCGTCTATACCCGCGACCTTTCTATCCAAAAACAGCCCCGCCCTGCGCCACGGCACACACAGGGTAGATTCGGTCAATACACACACTGCTGTTATATTACCGTTTCTGTGTTTGATCCGGAGAATAGCCTAGCCTCTCCCACCACTGGGCCCTCACGGGATCCCAGGTCATGGCCTTCAGAAGCACTTTACCTTTTCACCGACACTGTGTGACTGACGTCCGTCCATTGGTCAGCCAGGTAGCGCGCGGTCGATGCTCTTAACAACAAAACACACACCCCACAACCAAAAATCCCGCTTCAACGCTGCCATATTCTCATTGGTCAGCCGACTAGATCGGTCGATGCTAACCATCAAAACACACAAAAAAAAAAATCAGCGCGCCTCCCCCAACCCCACCCTCACCTTCACGCGGTACGGTCGAACGGACGTCGGAGCTTCCCCCGGCCACTCCTGCAACGACGGCGGGGGCTGCGACAAGCCCCCACCCCGCTGCTGCTGGGGCCGCCGCAGCCGGCCGCCTCTGGCCACGGAGGCAGCAGCGCCCAGGAAACCGAACGTCCCAAAGGCGGTAGCGGGGGCTCCGCCGGCTGCCGCCCCGGCACCGCCCCCCCACCCCCTCGATGTATCCCTCCACGGCGTCTCCGCGCGCATCGGTAAGCGCACGCCGGACGGCGGGGGGCCCGTGAAGAGTTCGGCCGGGGGGTCACGCTGTCGTCTTTCGGCCGCCGCTGCATCCAACGCGGCCGCCGCCGCCCGCGCCGCTTCGGCCGCCCTCCGCTGCTGCGCGGCTTCGACAAGGCCCGCGTTGTTGTAGACCTCCTTGGCCATGGCCCTCTCGTACCACCACGATACCGCCCGGTCGTCGTTTGGCGGCGACCCCTTCAGCGACGAAGCCAAGCCTGCTGCCCCGCCTTCGGCCCCGTATCCCTGAGAGGGGGCGAGAAGCTTCTTGCGCAGCCGCGGCCTGACGTGGAAGACGACGGCATCGACCTCCCTGCTCGCCGGCTGTCCGTTGATGGTCGTTCGGGTCTCGTTGGATCCGCCGAAGATGATCAGCTCTCCGTTGAGCTGGCACACCGTCTGTTTCGCGGGGGGGGGGTTAGGAGCATCTCAACGTCATTCTCAATTTTGTTCTGTTGCCATAGCTGTCCTAACTTCACATCTCGAGGTCATTCTCTGAGCTGCTCTGTTGCCTAGTTGTGCTAACTTGACTGGTCGAAGTCACTCTCTGAGCTCTTCTGTTGCCATAGCTGTCCTAACTTCACGTCTCGAAGTCGTTCTCTGAGCTGTTCTGTTAAGTTGTGCTAACTTGACGGGTCGACGTCACTCTCTTCGCTGTTATGTTGCCATAGCCGTGCTAACTTGACGGATCACAGGTCAGTCACACACACCAGGAACGTTCAATTACTTGGGCAAAACTCTGCTGTAGAGATTCAAAGGACCGTGCAACCATCAAGTACACAGCAGCAGTAGGGGGGAAATGGGAGAGTGCGGCTAGTTTTTGAATGCATTTGCTACTCTGCGCTGTTGCTACACTGCGTGGGGTGTTGCGTGTTGAGAACTGTGTGTGGTTGCTGTTGTTGGTGTCCTGGCACTGTATTAAAACTATCCTCATTTCTGCGTAGTGCCTTCAAACATCCGTACTAACGCGGACGTCCTCCGTGGCCACAGGTCAACTACATGTGCAACCATGGTCCCGTTTTGGCGGTCCATACTATCACACTATCACACAGTCTTATAACCGATTGGTAGCATAGCAATATAGTAGTTTGACTATCGAGGTGCAGCCGTGCCAAGAGATGTAGGTACAGTGGCGGCTACGGTTCAAAAGAGGGTTGGGACAAGCCAATATTTCTCGCTTACTTCCGGTTTTCTCTTGAACCGTACTACGACACGTGTGTATTTCTCATGGCCGCGACAAGGCAGTTTGACTCTCTTCAGTAAGTACTTTCTCCTACATCGGTCTCTCTTACACCGGAGCCGCCACTGTACCGCTACTCAGAGCATCCCGCCAACCCGGACCACGACTATACCCAAAAAGGGGAGGAGCCACCAAGAGAGGGCAACAGGACCCGGAACAGTCAACGCGCGCGCCGCAGAATATTCTCTCGAGCACACGCACATCTCATCGCCTTCGCAATGACGCTAATGCTGATCGATGTAGTAGAGAGGGGGGGTTGGCATCCCTAACCCTAACCCCCAACCCAACCCCGTATACCCCCCACCAAAGTCATGCTTGATAATCGCGGATAGGGTACTGCACCTGGCGGGATCGGGGGCTGGGCAAAACACCGGTAATCTGCGTAGCCAGGCTCTCCCATTTCGCCAAGATGCCGTGCTGCCCGTCCACTGTCCCCCAGGATAGGTTCAAGAGGAACATGTCGTTGAACGCGTGGTGGCCTGGAAAACCAGCGTGCGTCCCGCGGCCAGCAGCAGCGGGTGGGGGTGTACTCTTAGTCGTGCATGCCGTAGTCGTCAGGCCATTGACCTCGCATCCCTACAAAGCCGGGACGGAGCATGCCGGGTTCTCACCGGACCAGGCGCTCACATCACCAAGCGCGAACCGCCGTGAGATATACGGCGAGATGCATGAAGGGTGCGCTGCATCCTGCCAAGGGTGTTCGGCATCTTGTGCTTTCTTCCTTGCGTACGGATGACAGCTGCGTATGACTTCATGTCTTTTCTAGTGCTTTCACTTCCAGAGACACTTGTAAGCACTGTGTAACTACCTCGAGGGTGCTTGACCTACTCAACACAACGCCGCGCGATCATCCCCCTTGCGCGGAGTGAGGCTTCTCCACCCCGCACAACATGATCTACTCGACCACCATTATGGTTACCGCCAAAAAAAAAACAGAGGTTAAAAAAAAAAGGTCACCTGGTTGCCGAGTTCACGAAGTGAATTGGCTTGTTTTTACAACGTTCGTTGCCAAGCGACGAAAACCCAATCCCGATGGCAAACACCGAGGGGAGGGCGGGGGGGTATACTCATAGTC